GCTGGGCCTCCAAAAGTGCTAGGATTACAGGCGTGAACCACCACACCTGTCCAAAAGTGTTGAACTTTTTATTTGGAAAACGGAATTTGGGAAAGAAGCCCTCTTGTTATTTTGTAGATTACACTTCCACTAAGGAAAGTAAAGCTAAATAGGATCTTGCCTTATGGCGATAAGGAGATAATTCTGACTTGGGCCGGCAGGGTAGAAGAGAGTGACAAGACCTCCATATTTTTCAAAGGAGGACATGATCTTTTAAAATCAAGAACCACTTTTCTGTGTGGTTAGTGAATTTTCAGTATTTGGTACCAAATGCAGGGAGAGCTCTTTGAAAAGCTGCAGATATAAGCATCTCAGAGGGATGAAGACTAAGGATGGCAGGCTCCCTTCAGAAGGGAGGCCTTTTCCCTTTACTTACAAAAGAGAGAGGGAGAATAGATATTAGCCCTAGAAGGACGGGACCTTAGAGAAATTGAAGCTACTCCCCACTCTCCTTATGAGACTCCAGTTTACAAGTAGGAAATTTCAGGCCTACAGAAGTGAATTGCCCGTGATCATACAGCTAGCTAGCTAATCACAAAGCTGGGACTAGAACATAGGCCAGTCCTCTTTGAGATCTGAATATTTAATACCCTATTGTTGCTCTTTAGGAGTATGATCCTGCTTAATTGGATAATTGGTAACTGAGGATGATGGTGCAGATTTTTTCCACTCGTTATTTACTGTATGAAGCCTGGCATCTCCTTGTAGTAGTATGGACTATTGGAAAGACTCTGGGATTACATGTACCTGCTTCTTTTCTTCTTCTTCTTTTTTTTTTTTTCATAGAGACAAGATCTTGCTATATTGCCCAGACTAGTCTTTAACTCCTGGCCTCAAGTGATCCTCCAGTCTTGTCTCCGAAAATGTTGGGATTACAGGCATGAGCTACTGCACTCAGCCTGTACCTGAGTCTTTCTTTCTCTCTTCCTTTTTTTTTTTTAGATAGGGTCTTGCCCTGTTGCCGAGGCTGAAGTGCAGTAGCATGATCATAGTTCACTGCAGCCTTGATTTCCTGGGCTCCAGCAATCCTTCCACCTCAGCCTCCCAAGTAGGTGGGACCACAGGCCACAAACACACCACTATTCCTGCCTTTTTATTTTTAACTTTTAGTAGAGACACGGTCTTGCTATGTTGCTCAAGATGATCTTGAACTCTTTAGCTCAAGTGATCCACCTCAGCCTCCCAAAGTGCTGGGATTATAGGTGTGAGCTGCCATGCCCAGCCTGTGAACCTTATTCTTAATCCAGGCTTCCCTTCTTGCTAACTTCGTGGTCTTGGACAAGTTACTTAATTTTATCTTAGTCTCAGTTTCCATATCTGTAAAAGAACAACTATCTCATATCGTTCTGATAAGGATAAAATGAAACAACCAATGTAAAGCACAGTGCATACACAGTATTGGTTCTCCTTCCTGATAAATAACACCTCTTTTCTGTCTTGCCTTCAAACTTTTGGGCAGAGTTTTCACTGTGTCCTTTTTCTTCATCTCTACTATAAACTACTTGGGTCAAATACTGCATCTTTTCAGCAAATCAGCAAATATTTCTGGATTTTTATTAACATGCTTATGTGCCTACACTCTACTATGAATAGCAAAAGCTGGCGACACAGTCCCTGACCCAAGTAACTTAAAGTCTAGCTGGGACAAAGCATGGACGTTTTAAAAATTAAGTAATAGTATTTCAGGGCCAGGCACCATGGTATGTCCCTATAGTCCCAGCTACTTAGGAGGCTGAGGCAGGAGAATCGGTTAAGCCCAGGAGGTAAAGCTGGGATCGTGCCATTGTACTCCAGCCTGGGCAAAGGAGTGAGACCCTGTCTCAAAAATAACAATAATAATAGTATTTCAATACTCTGCCCCTTTCCAAAAGGACCTGAGGTAGCTAAATAACACTAAGAAATGTATAGTAAATGTCCCAAGGCAAAATAGGTGAATATTAAATAATCAGCACTTCTTTCAGAAGAAAAGGCTGGTAGACTTGAGATTAGAAAAGAGTTTCTGGGAAAGTTAGGATTTGAATGGACCTAAGGATGAAGATTAGGCTGGAAGAAAGGAAAAGAGGGCATTTCACTGTGGAGTAGGATGGAATTTAGCAAAGATATTTAGTACAACAGCGATTACGTTGCTTAAGAGTTTCTGAAGATAAAACAGTAGATTCTGCATCGCAGAGGACCCCCAAATACAAGGCTAATGAGAGTTAAGTGAAATAAAGTAGTAATATGCCTACGAGCTTATTCTGGGTTATCGTACCTCACCCTTGAAGATGAGGGACATATTTTAGGATAATTAAGCTATAATGTATATGAAATGGAAGCTACAGATTGGTTCTTGCCTTATTCCTATCACAGTATTTGCACAAGGTCTCTAACACTTGCCTTTTCTCTCACTTCTACTTGTAGATGGCCGCCCTGCTCCCCCAATGAAAGGCCAGCTTCGAAGAAAAGCTGAACGGGAGAAGTTTGCAGTGAGTGGCTAGAGCACCAGCCAGGGCTACCTGTGTGTAACTGGAAGGAGAGCATTTAAATTGTAATTTGTCTTGAGCTGTGTTGCCTCTAAGCAAACATGTATCCCTTGTGCAGAGTTGTATTAATAACAGCCAAAGGTTTTAATAGAACTGTGAGATGGGAGTGGGGCACTTCCAGGGCAGGAACCAGTAGTAGACATCCTGCTGCACATTTTGCTCTCTCCCTGCTTCCCAAGCCAGGACTTGCTCCCACTGGGGAGTCAGCAGTGCCATTTTCCAGATGAAACCTCTGAATTTGTGAGTGAAAGGATATATAGTGTAGCACTTAACCCCCCAAACATTATCCACACTGTTTTCCTGTCTTTCAGAGGCGAGTTGTACTGCTGTCACAGGAAATGGACACTGGATTACAGGCATGGCAGCTCAAGCAGCAGAAGCTGCAAGAAGAAAGGAAGCAGAAAAATGTTCTTAAACCCAAAGGGGCTTCACTGAAGAGGCCAAGTCAATAAAAAGCAACTCCTGCCTCCCTTCCTCAGCCTCTCTCTGGATTTCTTTTCTATTACCTAGATGCCTTGTCCCAGTCAGAAGAAAGCCTTCACGTTTCCCATCTGTCTTCAGAGCAAAAGAGCTGGGACACCAGGAACAAGCTGTTACATCACTGCCTGGGAGGCTTGGCTTAGGCCCTTATCCCTGGCTCCATTCCAGTTCAGCTAAGTCTGGCTTTTAAAATTTTTACCTCCTCCTTTGTAGGCCATATGACTGGCCCAACTATGAGAAATAGCTGTTCTGTGAACATGAAAGATCCCTTTCTTGGCAAGCATCTGGTGTCAGTTTTCCTAAGATTCAGATATGTGGTCCAGGAGGTTACCCCCACTGGGAAGGCTGATGTGGGAAGAACCATACCTGAGTGTTCCATGTTCTGCCAAGAGTAGGGTTCTGAGGTCTCTGTGGTTCTGACTGCATTCCAGAGATTGATTGAAGAGGGGCCTGTACCTCCCAACCCATTTGTGTAGGAAAACCCTACATAAGGGCTCAGCCCTCAGTCACTATGGAGGAGGTGCCTGTTTAATAACATACCATATACCTCCCACAAACCTGGAGACTCCACAGGACCTAAGAAGCTTTTCATTTTATTGATCATGAATCTGATGGCAAAATACCTTTGTTTTCATTACAATGCTGAGTACTAGACTTCATTCTGCCACAGAAGTGCAATAGTTGGCCTGCGGTGGTGTCCCAGCACTTTGGGAGACCAAGGCGGGCAGATCACAAGGTCAAACGATGAAGACCATCCTGGCCAACATAGTGAAACCTCTTCTCTACTAAAAATACAAAAATTAGCGGGGCGTAGTGGCCAGCATCTGTAATCCCAGCTACTCAGGAGGCTGAGGCAGGAGAATCGCTTGAACCTGGCAGGCAGAGATTGCAGTGAGCCGAGATCACGCCACTGCACTCCTGCCTGGGCAACAGAGTGAAACTCTATCTCAAAAAAAAAAAAGTGTGATACTTCCTGAATCCTTAGGGTTTCTGGAGCTTCCTACCTGACCTAATTTCTGTCCACACTTTTTTATTCCTTCCTTTGCTTTCTTCTCCCTTCCTCCCCAGCCTCCCTAACCTCTTTCCTCTCTCCCCGACCAAATGCAATTCTTAGATATTAGATTTCGCTGATGGCCGAGTTTTCTGTCTCCCACACTTTTCCTGCTCTGTTGTGCTGCTTTTCCAAATCTATATAGTTCTCCTTTGCCTCCCTTTCTCACCGTCAGCTTTATCCTGCCCTCTTCCCTACATACCTCCACCTTTTGTTTTGAGTCCAGTAAGTCCCAAAGGCAATTTTACTCTTTAAGAATTGCCTCCTTTTTCAGTGTAGAGATGGAACCCTGGCGTCCCAACTCCCAATCCCTTCTTTTACAATAATTTCACCCAACTTGATTTGCCTTCCCCCAGATCCCATGGTCCTGTAGCCATTACAAATGACAATAACAAAGGAATTACCTTTGTCTTTCTACAAGGATGGAGCCACAGATCTAGTATGGTTGTGGGGTTTGTTGTTGGTGGATGGGTTTGTTATAGTTTGGATTTTTTAGCAGCAGAGGGAGGGACATAGACAGTTGTCTACAGGGCCCAGGAGATAACCCCCCAACTACTAATAAACAGGCCCCTTCTCCCAATGCAGGTCTTATGGGCATGGAAGAAGACCCCACCACCACCACCATCCCACACTCTTGAGCTCCTTGCCCCAGCCAGTACCCCCCAATAATTGCCACCCTTAGGTGACACGATAAATGCTGAATACCAGAGGAATCAATCCACCCGAAATATGCTTATGGGAAGAAAATCTCCCACATCCCTTCCCTGGGTCCCCCTACAGCCCCCTGCTGTCCACTGTGGCTTCAACCCCTGCAGATGGCATTCTGCACCACAAAAAGGCAATAGTTGTAATTGGATTCTGACTACCACGTCCCCAACCCGGAAAGGAGGGCACTTGGGGGGCGGGGACGGAGGAGAGGCTGAGGGAGAAGGGAGGGACCAGAGGAGAGAGCGAGAGGGATCCAGACCCCAGTTCGCCGACTAAGCAGAAGAAAGATCCAAAAACGCTAAAGAGAAGAGCAAACAGGCACTTTTAGGAACAATCCCCTTAACTCCAAGTCGACAGCGCTCTAGGAATTCAAACTCAGTGCCTACCGAAGACAAAGGCGCCCCCAGGGAGTGACGGTGCGACCCCAGGGCGTGGGCCCTGCCGCGGAGCCCGCACTGCCCAGCTGACCCGGCGGTCTTGGACCATGTCTCCCGCCCCACGACCCTCCCGTTGTCTTCTGCTCCCCCTGCTCATGCTCGGCACCGCGCTCGCCTCCCTCGGCTCGGCCCAAAGCAGCAGCTTCAGCCCCGAAGTAAGTGAGCTCCCCCGGCCCTTCCCGGAGTCGTGCCCGCCAGAAGGCGAGCCCGGGGGTCTCCAAGGGGACAGCCCCTATTTGGAGAGGAGGGCTCTTGGGATCTAGGCTGCTCGGGCCGCAGGATTCCCCCTCCTTTTCATTTTCCTTTTCGTCTCCAAAATTCCAGATCGATCCAACTTTTGCCCGCTTCCAACCAGCTGCCCCCACCCCCTGCGCCGCCGACTCTCTTTCCCATTCCTTCTTTTTTTCCATTCCTTGGAAGAACTTTACAGCTGGGGCGGACTCCCCTTTCCCCAATTCCCTTGGGCTCCGCGCTCAGTTCTGGAACAGCCTGATAAACATTTGGACTCCGCTCAAACCCCGCGCAGTCCCGGCTCCTTGTCATGTGCGAGAGTTTGTTGTTTCTTCGACTTCCCGGCTCTCCAGCGCTCTCCCGCCGGCGCGCCCTCCGATCGGTGCTTCGACCTCCCGGCGCGGTCCAGGACCGCCGCGGACGCGTCTGCGGCCAGGTGGGGTCTAGGGTGGACGAGAGTCCAGGGCCACAGCCTCCGTCTTCCCGACAGGACCCCGCTGTGTCCCCACCCGCATCCCTGGCGTCGAGGGTCGCAGCGCCGGCAACTGGCCGCGTTTCGGTGCACACAAAGCTCTCCTTGTGAGCCGGGCGCTGGTAGCCGCCTCCTATCTCCACCCTCGTCGGCGCCTTCGGGCCTATTTTGTTGTTAATTGTTTTTCTGTGTTAATTGCAGGGAGCCTGGGGCATCACTCGGGGAGTGGGGAGAGGGTCCCGCCCGGGGCGCCCTCACACGTCCCCACAGCTGGCTTAGGCACCCCCGCAACATGCCCCGGCCCAGACGGTGGCCCACCGGTCCCCAGAGGAAGCTGCGTGGGAGTTGTCTGAGGAGGTTTTTCCTCTGTCTCTCTTATTTAGGGGTGAAGGTGGGAGACGGATTTAATGAGCTTCTTATTTTGGGCCATCTCAACCCACTCAGCCTGGCAAGGGCCTGGGTGCGGTCGGGAGGGGCCAGGAAGGGCCCAAAAAGGGGGATGGCATCTGGGTTTGGCTTCCTCCGCCCTGGTCCCACTCCGGAGAAAACTCTCTGGAAAGAATACTCTCTTCTCTCTCTGTCCCTGAAAGGATCTGGGGCCGACTGGAGAAGTATGGGCACAGGGAGATGCCACAGGGAGTGCCACACTCTCCCTGGTCTCTGAGCACTCCCAGAAGATGCCACAGGGACTGCTCAGAGACCAGGGAGAGTGAAACCCTGCCCTGGGCCTGAAGGCTGAGCCTGACTGCCGGGAGAAGGAGTCATCCTTTTGTCAGACTCTTAGGACTATCAGCCTAGAGTCCTCTGAGACCTAGAAGGGAGCGCCCCTAACAAAATGAGCCTGGCATCTGGGAGCTGCCCACTGCCAACTATACTGCCTTGCCTTTTTTCCCTCCCCTGCACTGCTAGGCCCAGAGGGGCGGCAGCCCTGGCTCAGTTTTAAGTGGGTCATGGGCAGTCCCAGTGCCAGAATCACCATTTGCTTCTAGAAGGGAGGGGGGAGCAGCCCTTGAGGCTAGGATCCAGGGCCTACTGCAGAGCTGGAGGTCCCCCCACCCTCCACAGGAATCCTAGGCCAAGGTGGGTGGTGTTCAGTTAACTTTCTCCTAGGGGGATACCTTGCATCTCTCATTCACAAAGACAAAGCCAGCCAACTGAGTTCTTTGACCCAAGATAGTTGCTTTTTTCTCCATGCCAGTGTGGAGGGAAAGCTGGGGTGGTGCAGGCCTCATGCAGCCGGGTCCCTCGCACCAGGCCTCCAAAGTCCTGCACCAGCTCCAGGACAGCCCTCTCCTCCCTTTGGCATGTCTGGCGCTGAGCCCTTCCTCCCACCCAGCCGCAGACACAAGACTCCTCTCTTCTGTGGTTTCGACCTCATAGTCTCTGTGAGGAAATAAATTTGCCTAGGCCTGGGGGGAGGAGAGGGTTGGGGGACTTCCTTTCCAGGCCTTGTGGCTCTCTGGACTCCAGGGAAGTCTCTCACTTGACTAAGCCTTCATTTTTCACCCCAGGGTATGGGGTGGAGGTTGTGGGTGTGAATATTTAGACCCACCTAGCTTCTCGAAAGATTCCAGAGGGGATTTCCCCCAAAGATCCTGGATGAGGATTCTCCCACCTCTGTGCTGCCCTCCCTTCTGTCTACTCTAGGTGAATTCTCTCAGCTTTGCTCTCTGTGGGTTGGGGCCTGGCCTCAGTCCTCCTGCTTTCTAGTGCCAGAAGTAGAACACTCCCATCCTTCCTCAAGTCTTGAAGCAGCTGCTCCCTAACCAAGGGTCATAAGCCTGGGTGTGTTTAATCCTACAGGTGAGGCTAGGGGCAAAGGATGTTTCCTGCATAGTTAGGCACAGGGAGGCACAGGCCACAGCACGCCTCACCAGGCACTGGCTGTGGCATCAGAACAGGTCAGGGCGAGCCTGCAGCTCCCTGAGAGCAGCCCGGGAGTGGAGTGCCCTGCTTGGCTCCCCTCTGGTATACCAGAGGTTAAATGTTACCCCTTCCTTTTCCCCTGAGGAGGGGCTCTCAGAGCCTCAGAGCTTGGTGGTACTAGGGTTGTTCTAGCTAGAACTGTTGGCTGGGAAAAGGCTGGGTTGTTTACATTTCAAATCTAGCTCCCATCAGCCTTAGGGGATCACTTCCCAGAACCGTGTTGCAATTCTTGCCCCTGTGGGCTCAGGTCCCCAGTCAGCTGCTCTTGAGTCACCCCTAGTCCCCCTGCAAGACTACTGTTCCATCACCAGGGCCTGGGCTCAGAGGTGAAGGACCATGTGGAGATCCATCCTGATGACCTTGGATAGGGGATGCAGCACATAACAGCAGCCTCCCTCATCTCCCCTCCAAGCTCCCATCCTAGGCAACCTGCAGCTCCTTCCCAAACTCCCTAAGAAAACAAAGCTGGGCCAGGCACAGTGTGGCCCACACCTATAATCCCAGCACTTTGGGAGGCCAAGGCAGGCAGATCACTTTAGGTCAGGAGTTTGAGACCAGCCTGACCAATATGGAGAAACCCCATCTCTACTAAAAATATTAGGTAGATCACCTGAGGTCGGGAGTTTGAGACCAGCCTGACCAGTACGGAGAAACCCCATCTCTACTAAAATTAGCCAGGCGTGGTGATGCATGCTTGTAACCTCAGCTACTTGGGAGGCTGAGGCAGGAGAATCACTTGATACTGGGAGACAGAAGTTGTGGTGAGCTAGTATCCCGCCATTGCACTGCAGCCTGGGCAACAAGAGCAAAAGTACATCTCAGAAAAAAGAAAGAGGCCGGGCGCGGTGGCTTACGCCTGTAATCCCAGCACTTTGGGAGGCCGAGGCGGGTGGATCAGGAGGTCAAGAGATGGAGACCATCCTGGCCAACATAGCGAAACCCCGTCTAGAAAAAAAAGAAAGAAAGAAAGAAAAGCTGGAGCAGGGAGCTATCTGAGTGATGTCTTCTTCCCATAAAAGAATCCAAACATTGCTGGGCACAGTGGCTCATGCCTGTAATCCCAGCTTTTAGGAAGGCAGAGGCAGGAGGATAGCTTGAGCCCAGGAGTTTGAGACCTGCCTGGGCAATATAGCAGACCCCCGTTCTCCACAAAAAGGAAAAAAAAAAAAGAATCCAAGCCTCTTCATATTTCATTTATAACTTGGCTTGTTTAACTTTTTTTTTAAAGACAGTCTCTTTCTGTCACCCAGGCTGGAGTGCAGTGGCGATCTCTGTTCACTGCAACCTTGGCCTCCCAGGTTCAGTGATTCTCCTACCTCGGCTTCTGGAGTAGCTGGGATCACAGTCACCCACCACCATGCTCAGTTTATTTTTGTATTTTTAGTAGAGACAGAGTTTCCGCCATGTTGGACAGGCTGTTCTTGAACTCCTGACCTTGGGTGATCCGCTCACCTCTGCCTCCCAAAGTGCTGGGATTACAGGCATGAGCCATCATGCCCAGCCTGGCTTGTTTTACTTTTAAGACTTTAGGAAAATACTCCATTGTTCTTACAATAAAGGCTGACTTTCTCCTCAACAGGGCTTTGCAGTGTGTGTACCTTTTAATAAAACACCAAAAACCTAACATTAATTTAATTTGAGGCAATATGCCAGCATTTATATTCTAACCAATTCACAACATAACTGATATGAAATACAGTCACCAGGTCTCCTCCACCACTATCTCCCATTTCCTCTGCTGAGAATCTTAAATGGGCCTTTAGGTTCCAAGCCATAGGCCAGATGCTGCTTGAATAAGGACAGTCGCAGGATCCTGGCTCCAGCTGGACCACACCTCTTACTACATCCCAAGTCCCCAGTTTCCCCTTGTAGTGGCCAGCCTTAGTGCTAGCTCTTTTTCTGCCTTCCTTTCTTTTTTTTTTTTTTCTTTTTTTTTTGAGACAGAGTCTTGTGTCACCCAGGCTGGAGTGCAGTGGTGTGATCTCGGCTCACTACAACCTCCACCTCCCAGGTTCAAGTGATTCTCCTGCCTCAGCCTCCCAAGTAGCTGGGATTATAGGTGCCTGCCACCACACGCAGCTAATTTTTGTATTTTTAGTAGAGACAGTGTTTCACCATGTTGGCCAGGTTGGTCTCGAACTCCCGACCTCAGGTGATCCACCCTTCTCAGCCTCCCAAAGTGCTGGGATTACAGGTATGAGCCACCGCGCCTGGCCTCTGTTCTTTCTAAAAAGATCTTTCTAAAAAGCTGTGAGGGTCCTGGGGACATGGCACTCCCATTCCAGAAGGGCTTCATGTCAAGCCCAATAGTAGAGCTCACTCATCCTGTCAACACCCCTCCCCACCCATCATGGGCACAGCCCATTACCAGCTGGAACATACTGTATTTGCAAGAATGCTGACATGAAGGAGAAAAGTGCTAGAAAGGATCACAGCTCCAAGAAAACATCTCAGAACTCCATTAAACCACCAAGGCTCTCATTTGCAAGAAAGCTACAGCCAAAAGTCTGTTTGGGCCCATAGACCCGAGGGGACAAGCCCTACTGGGGCCTGGGCCAGAGTCCAGGCAAGCTGAGAGCCCATGGGCCTTTCCTCACCAAACGAAGGCTGTATGCCAAGCATTGTGGGGGAGGTAGAGGCACCCCATGGACCAGGTGGGGATACTGTAAGCCATACCCCTTTCCCTACAGGCCTGGCTACAGCAGTATGGCTACCTGCCTCCTGGGGACCTACGTACCCACACACAGCGCTCACCCAAGTCATTCTCAGAGGCCATCGCTGCCATGCAGAAGTTCTACGGCTTGCAAGTAACAGGCAAAGCTGACGCGGACACCATAAAGTAAGTGCTAGGCCCTGGCAGGGGTTCTGCCGAGCACCCACTGACAGCACCGGCACCACAGATGCTCCTACCTGAATGCCGGCTTGTGCCACCCATACCTCAACCCCACGTGCCGATCCTGACCCTCTCATGTTCACCCTGACTTAATAACCTTGGCCTTTCCCCACACTGACACACAGCAAGTCTCACCCAACACAGATGCTGGAGACCTTTCTCTTTCATACACTGCACTGACCCCAATCCTCACACCCTAACTCACTCCAGGGCCATGAGGCGCCCCCGATGTGGTGTTCCAGACAAGTTTGGGGCTGAGATCAAGGCCAATGTTCGAAGGAAGCGCTACGCCATACAGAGTGTCAAATGGCAACATAATGAAATCACTTTCTGGTGAGTCCCAACAGGCAAGCCACCTTTCTCACATCTGGTTATTGTTCCCTATCCATTGTGCTTATGCAGAGACTCAGAGACCTCCTGTCCTACTCCCCTCAGTTCCTGAGAAGTGTCCCTGAGAGTGGGGAGGAGAATGGCTCTCACCCTGAAGAGAGGTGCAGCCATTGTGGGTGTACCCCAATGCTAGAGAGCCAAAGCCTAAGGATCCCTTGTTCTCGAAGCAGAGGGGTCGTGCATGAGGCAGCAGGAAGAGCTGGGTCAGGCAGAGGTGGCTGGGCAGCGCAGTCAGACCTGGGAGAGTGCAGGGAAGGAGAATGTTGCCCCTCATTATCCTAACACACCCCATCCTCTCCCCACGTGGCTGGACCTCAGCATCCAGAATTACACCCCCAAGGTGGGCGAGTACGCCACCTACGAGGCCATTCGCAAGGCGATCCGAGTGTGGGAGAGCGCCACATCACTGCGCTTCCGTGAGGTGCCCTATGCCTACATCCGTGAGGGCCATGAGAAGCAGGCCGACATCATGATCTTCTTTGCCGAGGGCTTCCATGGCGACAGCTCACCCTTCGATGGTGAGGGCGGCTTCCTGGCCCATGCCTACTTCCCAGGACCCAACATTGGAGGGGACACCCACTTTGACTCTGCCGAGCCTTGGACTCTTGGGAATGCGAATCTGGATGGTGAGCAAAGTATCCCTGGAACTTACTCTGGAAAAAGCCAATAGTCATAGTGAGGACTAGAAAGGGCCTTGGCTTCCCTTAACACAAGTCTTCCTGGGATGGGGGTCCTGCCTCCAAGCACTCTCTCACCTCCACCCAGAGGAGTTTGCTGACTGGCTGTGTGCCTTAAGTGCCAGATAAAAAGCTGGACATCAGAATTTGGTCACTTTGGTTTAAAAACATGGGCAGCAGGCTCAGAAGTGTAACCAAAGCCTCTGGTGGGGAAGCAGGGAGCCTGAGGGAAGGGATTCAGGCTGCCATCATAACTGTCCCCATCCCTCCAGGAAATGACATCTTCCTGGTTGCTGTGCACGAGCTAGGCCATGCCCTGGGGCTCGAGCATTCCAATGACCCCTCGGCCATCATGGCACCCTATTACCAGTGGATGGACACAGAGAACTTTGTGTTGCCTGATGATGACCGCCGGGGCATCCAGCAACTTTATGGTGAGTAGTCTACACCCATGCCTGCTCCCTCCACCGCTCCTTGTTCCCTCCTGGTCTTTCATGATTCATCATTTCCCCTCTTTCATGCCCTACACACTCTGTACTGCCCCCTGCCAACCTAAGCCTGCCTCTCTCGGCTCCACTTTTGAGCCCACCTTTTCTGTTGCCCCCCAGTTGGTTGCTCCAAACTCCCCTAGAAGCCCATCCACACCCTTCCAAGGGTATCATCTGGCCATCTGTCTGCCCTTCCCTCCCCGCTCTCCTCCTAAGTCTGAAGTGCCCCTTGTGTTCTCTGCCCCAGGGAGTGAGTCAGGGTCTCCCACCAAGATACCCCCTCAATCCTGGACCACCTCCCGGCCTTCTGTTCCTGATAAGCCTAAAAAACCCACCTATGGGCCGAACATCTGTGATGGGAACTTTGACACCGTGGCCATGCTCCGAGGGGAGATGTTTGTCTTCAAGGTAGGAAGAAGAAGTGGGCTTGTTTGGGAGACAAAAGGGCTCTATGATACGGAGGCTGGGTGGGAATGGCAACAGCCAGACTGAAAACTAAAACTGAGGAAAAAAGGGCAGTGGGGGAGCTTTGGGGACTGAGTCAGAGATCTAAACTGCAAGACGTAATGGACTGACTCTTCCTGCACTGACTGGCTTCCAGGAGCGCTGGTTCTGGAGGGTGAGGAATAACCAAGTAATGGATGGATATCCATTGCCCATTGGCCAATTCTGGCGGGGACTGCCTGCGTCCATCAACACTGCCTATGAGAGGAAGGATGGCAAATTCGTCTTCTTCAAAGGTAACCAAGCACTCTACTTCAGCTTTGGGAGTGAGGAGGGTCTCCCTAGAGGAACTGATTTCCTCTAAAGTCCCTAGAGCCTAAGTTGAATCCAGACACTTCCCTCCTCTCCTCCCCAGGAGACAAGCATTGGGTGTTTGATGAGGCATCCCTGGAACCTGGCTACCCCAAGCACATTAAGGAGCTGGGCCGAGGGCTGCCAACCGACAGGATTGATGCTGCTCTCTTCTGGATGCCCAATGGAAAGACCTACTTCTTCCGAGGAAACAAGTAAGACCTCCTCCTGGGGACCTACGTACCTTAATCCCAGGCCTCCCTCAGAAACCACCACCCCAAATTCCCTCAGTTCTGGAGAAAGACCCACTTCACCCCCAAGATGCTTCCCTGGAGAAGGAGCTGGCTGAACCTCTGCTGTTGCCTAGAAATGGGCAGTCTCCTTTGGGCACCATGTGAGTGGGATGTGACCAGGTCATCATTTCAGACCTGGTCATTTGACGCCTCCTGTCCCCAGTTCTGTGCCTCCGCCGCAGCAGCCAGGCACTGTCATTACGGCTGCTGGTGGCTCCTTGCAGCCTGGGCCCTCCCTTCCACCCCCACCTTCCGCCACTTTCAGCAGCAGGCCCTCATTATTCAAAACCCCTGTCCCCACCCTGTCCACAGAGCTATCCTTTGCTCACTGGTGACTTCGGTCTGGGTCCTGCCGCCCACCGAGGACATACCCCGTGTTCAGCCACTGCCCTTCCTTTCTCCTTCCCCAGGTACTACCGTTTCAACGAGGAGCTCAGGGCAGTGGACAGCGAGTACCCCAAGAACATCAAAGTCTGGGAAGGGATCCCGGAGTCTCCCAGAGGGTCATTCATGGGCAGCGATGAAGGTGAGAGGGGCAAGGGAAGGTGTCACTGAGAGAAGGTTGGGAATAGGGAGTCAAGGAAGAGTGGGAAGGAAGCTTCAGGGAGTGCTGTGTGGAAAACAATGGTGATGATAAACCACATGCCAGGCGCTGGGCTAGGTGCTTCCATGCGTGGCACCCTTTCATCCCCACCACCTTCCACCCTGGTACTATAAGCACCCCCATTTTTTTTTAATACAGCGTCTTGCTCTGTTGCCCAGGCTGGACTGCAGTAGCTTGATCTCAGCTCACTGCAACCTCCACCTCCCAGGTTCAAGTGATTCTCCTGCCTCAGCTCCTGAGTAGCTGGGATTACAGGTGCCCACCATCATGACCGGCTAATTTTTTGTAGTTTTAGTAGAGATGGGGTTTCACTATACTGGCCCAGCTGGTCTCAAACTCCTGCCCTCGTGATCTGCCCGCCTCAGCCTCCGAAAGTGCTGGAATTACAGACGTGAGCCACTGTGCCCGGCCATAAGCACCCTCGTTTTACAGCTGAGGAAGCTGATGCTCAAGAAGGTGGAGGGGAGCTCAGCTGCCCTCATATTAACAGAGCTTCCTTGATCCCCTCCTCTCTTTGGCTCCTCCCCAACCTTTTGTTCCTTCCTTACCTCCTTCTGATTCACCCCTGCAGTCTTCACTTACTTCTACAAGGGAAACAAATACTGGAAATTCAACAACCAGAAGCTGAAGGTGGAACCGGGCTACCCCAAGTCAGCCCTGCGGGACTGGATGGGCTGCCCGGCGGGAGGCCGGCCAGATGAGGGGACTGAGGAGGAGACGGAGGTGATCATCATTGAGGTGGACGAGGAGGGCAGCGGGGCAGTGAGTGCAGCTGCCGTGGTGCTGCCCGTGCTGCTGCTGCTCCTGGTGCTGGCGGTGGGCCTTGCAATCTTCTTCTTCAGACGCCATGGGACCCCCAGGCGACTGCTCTACTGCCAGCGTTCCCTGCTGGACAAGGTCTGACGCCCACCCCCGGCCTGCCCACTCCTACCACAAGGACTGTGCTTCTGAAGGCCAGTGGCAGCAGGTGGTGGTGGGTGGGCTGCTCCCACCGTCCCAAGTCCTCTCCCCGCAGCCTCCTTGCTTCTCTCTTTTCCATGGCTGGCCTCCCTCCCTCTGACCCCTCCCCTTAGCCCCGGCATTGCATCTTCTCTAGATGAGTCCCCTGAGGGCTGAGTGAGAGGGTGGCCCGCTTCCAGCCTCTGCCCTTCAGCGGAACCCTGTAGCTTTGTGTCTGTCCAGTCCCATCTGAATGTGTTGGGGGCTCTGCACTTGAAGGCAGGACTCTCAGACCTCACTGGTAAAGGTCAAATGGGGTCATCTGCTCCTTTTCCATCCCCTGACATATCTTAACCTCTGAACTCTGACCTCAGGAGGCTCTGGGCACTCCAGCCCTAAAAGCCCCAGGTGTACCCAATTGGCATCCTCTCACTACTCTAATGGCTAAAAGGAATCTAATCTTGTTGGGGGTAGAGACCCTGAGACAGTGTGAGGAGGTGGGGACTGCCTAGCCACCCTAAAACCTTGGGAGGAAAACTCAGAGAGGGTCTTCATTGTTTAATCAAGTTCCTCGGAGATCTGCCTCTGCCTCAGCTACCCCAGGGAGCTTCCAAGGAAGGAGCCTGAGCCACTGGGGACTAATGGAGCAGAAGAAGCCCTTAGCAGCCCTATGCCTCTCGAATGTTAGCCTTGGACGGGGCTTTCACAGTTAGAAGAGGGGTACAGCTGTCAGGGTACAGTGAGGCCAGGGGGAAAGGCCCAGGTCAGAGCCCTGGGGGTGACCCTGAAGGCCACAGAGAAAGAACCTTGCCCAAACTCAGGCAGCTGGGGCTGAGGCCCAAGGGCAGAGCAGCCAGAGGGGGCAGGATGGGACCAAAAGGGAAAAAGAGGATGTCCAGCAGCATTGGAGGGCTGGGGCCAGGCAGGCCAGGCCAAGCCAAGCAGGGGGCCACAGGGTAGGCTGTGGAGCTCTCAGGAAGGACCCTGAGGAAGGCACACTTGTTCCTCTTGGTCCCTGTCCTCCCTGCCCAGGCAGCATGGAGGGGAAGGGTAGGGCAGCCCAGAGAAAGGAGCAGAGAAGACACACATAGGAGTCACGAGCGCCTTGATGCAAGGCCGCAGGGCCTGGCTGGCCACGCTGTCCCAGGCTGCTCACCACCTCAGCGAGGGGCAGGAGCTGAGGCTCGCTTAGGCTGGGCTGGAGCTTCCCTGGTGCCAGCACCCTCCGCCTGTCTCATGGGTGGCCTGCCCTCTCGCTCCCCCTCCCAGCCCACCCACTGAAGTCTCCTTGGGCCACAGGTGGTGGCCATGGTACTGGGGACTTGGGAGAGTGAGACCCAGTGGAGGGAGCAAGAGGAGAGGGATGTCGGGGGGCGGCGGGGAATGGGGTGGGGGAAATATGGTAAACGGTGCTGGCAGTTCGGCTAGATTTCTGTCTTGTTCGTGTTTTTGTTTTGTTTAATGTTTTTTGTTGTTTTTTTTTTTTTGAGACAGAGACTTGCTCTGTTACCCAAGTTGGAGTGCAGTGGTGTGATCTCGACTCACTGCAACCTCCGCCTCCGGGGTTCAAGCGATTCTCCTGCCTCAGCCTCCTGAGTAGCTGGGATTACAGGCAAGCACCAGCATGCCTGGCTAATTTTTGTATGACTTTTTTAGTAGAGATGGCGTTTCACCATGTTGGTCAGGCTGGTCTCAAACTCCTGACCTTGTGATCGGCCCGCCTCAGCCTCCCAGAGTGCTGGGATTACAGGCATGAGCCACCATGCCCAGCCTAATGTATATTTTTATTATAATTATTATATATGAATTGCATTCAAATCGTTCCTTATTGTTAACAAGGGGCATGGGAAGGGGTGGGGGTGGGGGAGCAGAGTCGTCTGACCCCAGGAACCTGCAGGGCGGGGCTGGGTCGGTGCCCTCTAAGGACAATTTTGACCTTGTTCAACCTTTCCACAAAGAATAAATCGTGTTTCACATTCCTTGTGTGGCTTAGCTCTGTAGAGGGTGATGGGCTGTGGATGAGAGGAGCTGGACGAGGGGAGGGCACGCATTATGAGCAGCGTTTTCCGTGAAATGGGGCTTTGGCATTTTTTATAAAGGAGTATGTTTATTCTTAGTGTACTATAGGGATTCAGGGGCTAGAGTTGGGGAGCAGGGCATACCCATAGGGCACAGCAGGGTGGCTGACTGAGCTCAGCTGCTCTCCCACCACCTGGCTTAAAAGGCAGCCTTGAGACTCAAGGCTCAGAGACAAGAGGAAGTGGTCAAGCTGAGGCCACTTGGAAAATCTTCCTAAATTGCATTACCCTGTCCTGTGATCCACCCGCAGACCCTCAGTTTCCTCTTGTCTGTCTGCCAGAGGCAGGGGGATTCCCATCATCATACACAGCCTTGGGCTCAGTGGCAGGTCCTTCATCCAAGCCCTCAGGACCTAAGAAGCCTCTTCCAGGCCTAGGGCTCTGCTGCTAAGACAGAAGGAAATGGGGGAAAGAGAGAAAGATGTTGCTGCTGGCCTATTAGGAGCAGCCTGTCTCTGACCAAACAGATCTCATCCCAATTGCCCAGAAGAACCACGATGGTCAGGTTAGAAGGGCAAAACAACAAGGCTTTCCTTCCTCTTTCCTTAGAAACTGCTGCCCCAGACAGGGTTCCCAGGCTATCTACCCACCCTTCCTCCGAAACCAGCCTGGAGGGAGGAATCTGCTCAGTGCTGAGTCAGCTCAGCTGGAGGAGAGCAGCCCCCTTTTTTTACCCCCCTTCCCTTCCTGCCTCCACCCAGCCCACCCACCCTGGGCTCCAGCCCAGGCCCCCTCTGCTGCTTGCCTCAAAGAGTCCTGGCTCCAACTATGTCAGTCAGTCTATCCAGCTGCTATTCAGGGCTAGTTAGTGTGATTGCTTTGGCAGAAGGGGTACCCCACCTTCCTGCCTGCCAGGAACCCTGACCCTACGCCTGGCCTCCTGCGCCTCCCCTGACAACAGCTGTTTGGCAGAGTCTGTGTGTCTCAGTGGAGTTGGACACCAACTCCCTACCGCACTTACCAGAGGGGATGGGGACCTTGAGAAGGTGGCAGGGGAAGTCAGGGGCATCTGAGGGTGGTAGGGTCTGTGCGTGTGGCAAGGAACTCAAAGATGAGCTCATGGCCCCTCTGTGTTTTCGTGGTCCACATCTGGAGGCAATTACAGATGTTATCCAGTGGGAGTTTTGCAAAACACAGCTGGAGCCAGTGGAGGAGCCTGGGGTGGGGGGGACTGCCAGAGGGAAGAGGAGGGGGAGCCTAGGGCTCCCAAGCTGGAGTGCGGTTTCCCCATCACGAGGAAATTGTTTGGCCCTGATTCTGGAATCACAAGATGCTCTCTGGAGCCAAGTGGGAGAGATGGGAATGGAGGACCAGAGACAAAGGGGGAAGACGTAGAAGATGGGCTTATAAACCTCCCCTCCCGCTAAATTTGACTGGCTTTAAAAAAACAAGCTTCACCAGCAGAGAGAATTTCGGGGTGGAGGCGGCAGCGTCCCGTGCTCCTGACGTGCCTGGGCCTGCCAGATCCACCCCAGTGAGGCTGCCGGGGGGCCTGGGGTTGCCTTAGTGATCACAAGTTCCCACTGAGTGAGCCACCAGGTCAGGCTGGGGTGAGGGGAGAGCAGAGGGCCCTGCAGCTTCCAAAAGACCTGCAAACTCTGCTTTCACTGGCCCTACCCTGATTTGTCCGTTGGGCCTGACCCAGTTTCTATGGTTCCAAGTTCCTTTATTCGAAAGCAGCACTTGTGAGTTGGAGCAGCCAGGAGGGAGCCAAGGGGAATCTGCAAGGAGGTTTGGGCAGAACCCAGGAAAGCTGGTACTAAGGAGATGCTGGACTGGGGGCAAGGGCCAAGGAGGGGCAGCACTCTGCCCACCAACCACTGCACCCTACACATTTGGAGGGGGGCCACGGTCTCCCTTGTCATCACCTCTCCTTCTCTAGGACTCCAGGGCTGCCAGCCAGGTGCTGGGTCAGCAGGAAGGAAAGGGAAGATCTAAGAAAAGCTGGGACCTCTAGAGGAGAGAAGACTGGGCACAAAGATGCCCCGACACCCCTCCAGACCCCAAAACACAATCTGGCTAGCTCTCCCGGTTCTTCACTGTCCCTCTCCAGGGCCCCTTTTCCCCACAATATGACAGACTTTCCAGTCGTCTCTTTCCCCTCTGTATTCCTCCTTCCCTTCCAGCAATGGTGAAACTAACATTTGCTGAGGTCCTTATAACACACAATGACACAAGCACTAATACTGTCCCGATGTTATAAATAAGGGAACTGAGGACCAGAAAGATGAATGACTTGGTCCATGTCACAGCTTATTAGCTCAGCTTTAAAACCTGGATCTTTCCAATGTATTTGTTTCCTTTTCTGTACTGGTAGATCCTGGCAATCTCTTGGGTGTCTCTTCCAGTGTGGACCCTGTGTAGCTGAGCGTCTTCACAGTAGCATGTGTTCTGGGGATCTGTCAGCACATCTGCATTTGCTTATTGTGCAGCAATATCATGGGGGGGTAGGAGTGCAGAGGGAAAGAACCCCACTTTGCCAGCCCATCACATCCCTTCTTGGAGACAGGAGCTGTACTCTGAGGGAAGGAAGGTGACACAAAGACTCAGAAGCCAAAAGGACGGAGACAGTGGCAGCAGCTAAGGGAAGGTGGGATTGGTGAATGTCTGTGTGTAAGGGCCTGGGGGGTGGAGGTCTTCAGGGGTGGCACCCATTCCCAAAGGCCCCAAGGAAACCCCAGCCAAGACTGCTCCATTGTCCTGTGGCTCCTATGCCTGCTTCCTACCTATCACCCCAAATCTGAGTACACCTCTTTTAAGGGCTCAAGTCTGCACACCTAGACCTGGGGTTTTCTGTCCCCCTCTCTCAGTCTTGTGAAAGTGTGGAGACTGGAGGCCGCCTGCAAGGGGCTGGGCAGCCAGGGCCTGGAAGGGAGGTAGGGCTGACTGGCCAGAAGCCACCTTCCAACTGAGCTCACACACATATTTTCCACCCTGGCCCAGGGCCGATGGCTCAGCTACTTCCAGGCTAGCCTTCCCCAGTCAGATCCAGCCCCCTCTGTCCTGCCCTGCCACCAGTCCTGGCCCCAGGGTCTCCACCACAAGATCACTGGTCACCCCCATGGCGAGGGCAGTCACTGGCATCCCCAAGGAGCAGCTTCCTCCATCTCCATGCTGAGGCCATTTGCCCCCAGAGTCCCTTATTCCTTTGTGGCTTAGAGGAGGATAAGAACAGCTCCCTGCTCCCAAAGACCTACACCTGGGTAGAGGGACAACAGAGGTGACAGAAGAGGCGGTGGAAGTAGTGAATGGGCGGAAGGGCTTCCTTTGAATGCTCGAAGTAGTTCACTGACTCAGGGACCAGGCCAGGTCCGGGAGCTGCCTCATCACAGGTCACATCCTGCTCACTCACTCAATTTCCTGCTAGGGGCATTTCCCTGACTTGGAACAGGATGGGGTCTGGGTGAGGCAAAGCCAGGCTGACCACAAAGCTAAGAAAAAAGACTGGCGTGTCAGAAGGCCTAGCGGATTCATACACACGCAACAGGCTTCATCTCACTTTGGTTTGTCAAAGATATTATTCACTGCCCAGCCTCCAGAGACATGTAGCACCAGGCCAGAGAGCAAGATCAATTCCCAAAAGGCTCTCCTCACCTGTTCAGCACCTGACTGTGCTAGGAGTATGGCTGCCCTGACTGTATTTCCTGGATTCAGTAATGTCTCCTGCAGCTCTGTGAGTTAGTACATCAGATGTGGCAGACAAGTCTTCCCATTCTGGAGTCCAAAATGACGACAGCCACTGTGAGTAGATCACACAACCTTGCTGTCTCGTACAAGGTGATAGTATAGTTCTGTCAAGGAATTACTATAATTCATAATACTGACCCAATCACAGCCACTGAAAAACAGGTTCTAGCCTCACTTTTCTTTTCTTTCTTTTTTTTTGAGACTAAGTCTCTCCTTGTTGCCCAGGCTGGAGTGCAATGGTGCAATCTCGGCTCACTGCAATCTCTGCCTCCTGGATTCAAATGATTCTCCTGCCTCAGCCTCCTGAATAGCTGGGGTTACAGGCACCCGCCACCACGTCCAGCTAATTATATATATTTTTTGTATTTTTAGTAGAGATTAAGTGTCACCATGTTGGCCAGGCTGGACTCGAACTCCTGACCTCATGATCTGCCCACTTCAGCCTCCCAAAGTGCTAGGATTACAGGCATGAGCCACCTTGCCCAGCCTTTCATGGCATATTTTACCTTAATTTTTTTTTTTTTTTTTTGATTAGTCAAGTGCAGTAGTAACAGGGGAAGGAACAGAATAAGGAGTTGGACCCGTAACTGACTGTGAGCAATCAGTTGAGATAACTCGCTACCTTCAAACCAACCATTATCTCAATCTTTAAAAGTTTTTTAAAAAGAAAACTATTGAGGTAAAGAAGTTCATACCCCCAAAATTAGTGGAGCATGGTGGCTCATGCCTGTAATCCCAGCTACTCGGAAGGCTGAGAGAGGAGAATCACTTGAACGCGGGAAGCAGAGGTTGCAGTAAGCTGAAATCACGCCATTGTACTCCAGCCTGGGCAACAACAGTGAAACTCTGTCTCATAAAAAAAAAAAGTTTATACCTCCAGAACTCCTACTTTGTCCCTGTAGGCCCCATTCTTTATCCCTTAGGTTTCAACTCTCCACTCCCTGCCTGCTCTTAATCTGAGAGTGGTTTGTATCAGGTTGTGTTGACCCAACTCTTCTGGAAATACCCAGCCTTCGTGTTGGACCTTCCGTGCCCAAAGTAGTTCATTGACTATTTATGTGGAAAGGCAAAAATACCCAGAATAGCCAACACAATATTAAAGAAGAATAAAGTGGCTCATGCCTATAATCCCAAGGCCCAGCCCACAGCCTAGACTCTGACCTGGAGGGCCCCGCCAGGAGGCCTCACTTCCCTATATCCCTCTAAGCTCTATG